TTCTGGGCTGTTGGTGCGTCACCATTTTGATGGGATGGCCGTGGAGACACTAGGATGCCATGTTGCGATCTGGTGGCCGCGTTTCACACGCGCGCGTGCGTGTACGCACTAACGCGCCTATCCGTGCAGCGTGCTCCGTGCGTCTGTTGCATGCCTGCGTGCGTACGCCCGTGCGTGCACGCACTGGCATGCACTGGCATGCATGGCTTTACGCGGACATGGTTCTACGCTTACGAGGGAAGGGGAGAAGGAGGAAGAGGAGGAGGGGGGAGGAGGAGGAGGAGGAGGAGGAGGAGGAGGAGGAGGAGGAGGAGGAGGCTGAAGGAAGAAGGCTGAAGGTTGAGGGCAGAAGGGGCCCTTGCTGAACACGAGCGCCGCGTAGGGTTCAAGGAACGCTTGGCCCTGCTGGGCCGGGCCCCCAACCGAGGGACGCGCGGCACCACGGCTCAACCTCTTAGCCCCCCCAGACTTTGGGGTTGAGCCCCCAACTCTCCGAGCCGAGTCCAACCGTGGCGTCGTCGACAACCATTGGCCGAAGTCCATCAACTGACTGGTGCGCTGTTTGCCCTCTCATGGCTTCTTGTCGCGAGCGGCTTCGCAGCCTAGTCCGCGAAAAAGCTTTTCACGTCCTGCGCCTGGGTGGGGAAACTCAGAAGCATCATCTTGACGTTCCTGGTCGCTTCCTCCAGCTGGACCTACAGATTCTCGCCGACGGGGTTAGCCAGCTTCGGCCCGAGCATGGCGCGTTGTTCCGCTTCGAACCCCGTCTCCAGCCTGGAGCCCACGAAGCTCGGGCCCGTCCTTCCCCCAAAAGCTGTCCTCGTGGCTGCCTTTTTTGGTCCCGCCGCTGGGGCCCGTGCCGTGCGGAGCGTCGCCGGCAGCTGTGGAGCTGCTGCACGCCGCGGCTGCTGCTGCCACCCGGCCCTCTGCCTTCGGCAGCGGCTCCAGGTCGTTGCACTCGCACCCTCCCGGCCCACACAACCCCTGCCTCGGAGCACTGCGCCACGTCACAAAACGTCGAAGCTGGATGAGCCTCTCTTGCTCTCGGAGCTTGATCTTCATCATCTTCGACGCCCTGCGTCATGGAAAAAGCATGGGGACGTCATCCGGGCCCTGTTCCTGGCGTTGCTGAACGCGCCGTTGAAAGCCTCGAAGACGTACGCCAAGTCCCGGTCGGCTCCAAGCGAATCCGCCACCTCGGCTTGGCCACATGCAGGCCTACACCTTCCAGGGGCAGTCCTCGTACCAGTCCTGCCTCCCCTTGCTCTCCGCCCTGGGCTCCTTCCTCTCCTTCTTGGCCCCGTGCTGCAGATTCCCGACGTCCGCCGGGGTTTCCCGCGAATGCGAGCTCGCACTCGCCCTCCTCGACGTCTCTCGATGCACCCCCTCCTGCAAGGCCTCGCCTTTTCTCCCGCTGGGCCAGTTTGGGGCGGCTGCACTTCTTCGCGTGCTGCTCCTCGGACGATCCGGTACGCCCGCCTCCTCGACGAGAGCAGCGGCCCCGCTCGAGCGCCAGCGCCGCTGCTCCCAGCTGCACCCTCCTGTGAAAGTCCTGGCCCCTGATCTGGGGCTCCCACGGCGCTGTGGGTTTGGGGCTCGCAAGCCCCGCCGCCTCCCGCGGCCGCATCGGGGGCGCCCTGGGTGCCCGAATCGGCGGCCTCCTGCCGCTCCACACTGGGTGAGCGGCTCCGCTGGCGCGCCTCTCGTCCTCGGGGGCCTGCTCTTGCCCTCCGCCTCTGCCAGCCTCGCGGGCGACCTGCGGGAGCAGCGCTCGGAGTCCGTCGACTCCTCGTCGCTCGCCCTGTCGGACTCCTCGTGGTGTCGGCTTCGGCATGACGGGGATGCGCACTGGTGAATGCCGCCGCCTGGCCTGCAGATCCTGCAGATCCTCGGCCTGCAGCAGCTGCGCGTGGATCAACTTTTGAACAGCCTTATCCATCTCCGCCGCGACGTGGCGCTTGGCGCACTCCAGCGTCTTGTCGCACATGAGGTCGGAGGCGGTCCCCGTGCACCCAGGAAGTACTGCTGCGGCGCTGGCGGGGCATCCCCTATGTAGTCATGCGCTCGCGGGCGTGCGCCGCGTTCAAGTAATCGCACCCGCAACTCCTTGAGCCACTCTCGGGCGCAACACGGCTAGGAGGAGGAAGAGGAGGAGGAGGAGAAAGAGGAGGAGGAGGAGAAGGAAGAGAGGTAGGAGAGGAGAGGAGAGAGTAGGAGAGGAGAGGAGAGGAGTGGAGAGGAGGAGGAGGAGGAGGAGGAGAAGAGGAGGAGGAGGAGGAGGAGGAGGAGGAGGAGGAGGAGGAGGAGGAGGAGGAGGGAGGAGGAGAAGGAGGTGGAGAGTACGTAGGAGGAGGAGGAGGAGGAGGAGGAGGAGGAGGAGGTCGTCGCCTCTGGAGGCGCAGCAAGCTGTCCTGCCTGGCTGCCATTTCGCCACGTTGATGCTGCAATTAATTCTCATCGGTCCTGTCGACACTGTGGTGCGTACTTTTCCCCACGTCACTTTCGGGGTTGTGGTCGATGATTTCGGCCTTCAGCGTATCGGTCGCGAGCAGGACGTTGAGAAAGATTTAGTCGCCGCGACGGGCAAGCTTCACTCCGAGCTGAAAGGCGTGGACCTGGTCGTTCACCGTGAGAAGGGTCGTGTCGTTGCGTCGTCGCCTGGTCTCAGGGATCGGATTGTGAAGCGAACCCGTAGGTTTAATCTCAAAGGGGTCTCCAGTGAGAGGAACCTCGGTATCGATTTTGCCGCCGCCCGTACGATGCCTCGGGAGACTCGAAGGGCTCGCAGGGGACCTGCTGTAGCACGGGCTCGAAAACTCCAGAGTTTCTCGAAGGAAGTTAAAAAGCGTCGTGTGCACCACATGGTGCAGGCGGCCTGTCTGGCCTCTCTCAAGTACGGAGGCACAGTGTATGGAACGAACAACACTGATTTACGCGTGGCCCGTGCGTTACAGGCGCAGGTGCAAGTACAAAGCTTGTCAGGCCGCAGCGTAACTTTGTTACTCATGCTCGCTGAGGCGCCAACATGCGACCCTGCTTACCGGCTCAACATCGATCCGCTCAGCATGTATGCCACCGCGGTGTGGGACGGTCTCTTGCCGCGTAGGCTGCTCGAGCAGGGTCTGACTACCGCGGTGCACCGTCTGCAGCACTGCGGCAACCCATGGGCGAGCGTCAGAGGTCCCTTCTCAGCTTGTGCCGCCACCGCGCTTCGGTTCGGCATTGTCATTCAGGGCTTTGTTTGGCGGCACGCCGTGCTTGGAGAGATTTCGGTGCTTGAGTTTGGACCCCGCTCGGTCGCCATGTGGTTGACGCGTGTAGTCGAATTCTGGCTGTGGGCCAAGGTCTCGGTTCGAGAGGCGGTGCCAGAACTAATTCATGGATGTAACATGAACCCGCTTGTGGCGCTTGTTAATGGCTCCATGCTTCGTCCGTTTGAGCGGGGGTATATTAAGTCAGTTGTTTCAGGAGGCCAGTGGCCTCAGCACAGGCAATGGGAGTGTGGGCTTACAGACTCGGCCGAGTGCAGAGCATGCATGTGTGCGCCGTGCACGTTGGCGCACAGGCACCTCACCTGTGCAGCGCATGAGCAGAACATGAGTGCCGACCAGATCCCTGGGTATCTCAGTGTGCTCGCTCGTGCTGCTGCTCGCCCTCTCCCTCGTCTCTTTGCTGAGAGGCTGCTTGTGCCTGATGCTCCTCTCCCCGCTGCATCCACCGTCCCAGATCGGTGGTTTTCTGGTGGGCCCTCAGAGATGGGTGGCCACGTCTTCCTGGACGGCAGCTGGATGGACCAGCACCTGCCCGCCCAGGCGCAGACGGCAGGATGGGCCATTGTCTCTTTTTGTCGTAGTCGTCACAGAGTTTTGTCCGTGATGTGTGGCGTTCTTGAGCAGATCGTCATAGACATCGATGCCGCGGAGCTCACTGCGCTGTTGCGAGGTCTCCAGCATAGTGCTCCAGGCACTTGTTTCTACACTGATTCGGATTTTGTGTATTCGGGGGTCATGGTTCGGGGAGAGCGGGCCTGCTGCTCCAGCAAAAGCGCCTGGTCCGAGCTGTGGCGAATGGTGTGGGCTCGCATTCGTGATTGGGGTGGGGTTTCTGCTTTCACTTTGGTGAAGGTGCGAGCCCGCGCCACTCGTGCAAATGTAGTCAACGAGTCGGTCTCTCCTGCTTTGCGGCGTAGGCTTTTGTTTCTCAAACTGGGAAACGACGAAGCCGACTCCTGGGCAAAGTGGTCAGCCGACAGAATTCGCATCCCTCAGGAGCTTCGGGACGCCCGAAAGAGGAAGGCCCAGGTTCTGAAGGATTTTGCGATTTGGTGTGCGAGGGTTGGCTCTTTGTTAGCCGATCATGATTCTCTCCATGTGCCGCCCCGCTTGCGTGTTCCGAAGGTGCGTGGTCCCGTCGCCGTCGTGGATCCCCCTCCTCCTACTCGCATCCCCCGTGCTCTGGCCAAAGCTGATGCAGCTGCGGTCAGAGTGGCGCTCGCGGGAGGGAGTCGGCATGTGGTGTTTCCTTTCAAGCTCGCCGATGGGCCCTGGTGTGCTGCGTGTGCTGTGTGTGGACACGGTGGAGCCACGATCTCTTCGAATCTCAGCTCGGAGTGTCCAGGCAGGCCGCCCCCAGGGACCCATGGAGCCCGTGTTCTGCAAAATCTTGGCCGTGACCCGTCGCGGTATCTGTATAACAAGAAATGGTTTTTTCTTGTGCAGCCGTTCAGAACGGGTCTGCTTGTCAGGGCAGGCGAAACCTCGTCGGCCACCCTGTCATAACCCGTTCTGTTTTTCGTCTGCCTCGTGTTACGAGGCCCTGCTGGGCGGTGGCGCAAGCGGCAACCCGATCAAAGGGGGTCAGCGCCGTCCGTCCCAGCCGTCATGCGCGCAGGCAGACTCATGCTTGCGCCAGGCTGTGCCCAGGAGGAGGAGGGGGAGGAGGAGGAGGAGGAGGAAGAGGAGCAGGAGGAGGAGGAGGAGGAGGAGAAGGAGGAGAGGGAGGTGCTGCCAACTCCCTCGCGGCCTTCATCAAGCCAGCGAAGGGCATGGACCCGGACCAGCGGTGGCTGCGCAATTGGCGACGATCATGGTAGGCAACGTTATCGAAGCGTTTCGGGCATCGTGTCTTCCTTTTATTTTGCTCATCTTGTTTTGCTCATCCCCCTGACGTTCGCTAGAAGCCGTGTAATAATAATGATATCAATGACGACGATTCCGATGATGTTGCTGATGATGATGATGACGCTGATGAGGCTGATGAGGCTGTGGATGATGCTGCTGCTGTTGACGATGATGATGGTGGTGATGTTATTGTTGATGCTGATGACGCTGATGATGCTAATGTCGCGACGATGCTGTTCTTGTTGATTGTGATGCTGATGTTGAGGTTAATGTTCATGCTGTTGCTGATGCTGATGATGCTGCTGATGAGGATGATGATGATGATGATGAGGATGATGTTCTGGATGAGGATGATCGTGCTGCTGATGCTGCTGATGATGATGGTGATGGTGGTGGTGATTGGCGATGATGGTGATGATCATAATGAGTATAGTGATGCTGGTGGTGATGACGATACTGATGGTGATGATGATGATGATGACGATGATGATGATGATGATGATGCTGATTGATATTATGTTGGTGGTTGTGATGCTGATGGTGATGATGATGATGATGATTATGCTCTGATGACGACTACGATGCTAACGTTGATGATGATGGTGATTCTGTTGTAATTACGATTGCGCTGATGATGTTGATCATACTGTTGTTGATGACGATAATAAATGATGATGCTGACGGTGGTGATGCTGCTGCGACTTCTGATGATGCTGACGATGCTGATGCTGATGCTGACGATGATGGGGATTATGATGATGATGCTCATGATGATGATGATGATGCTGATGATGATGCTGATGATGATGAACATGATGATGGTGATGCTGATGGTAATGATGATGCAGCCGCTGCTGCCGTTGCGGCTGCTGCTGCTGATGATGATGGTGATACTGGTCATGCTGACGTTGATGATGCTGATGCTGATGCTGATGATCCTGATGATGATGATTATGATGCTGATGCTGATGATGAGGATGATGGTGATTGTGATGGTGGTGATGATGGTGATGGTGATGGTGATGGTGATGGTGATGATGATGATGATGATGATGATGGTGGTGGTGGTGATGATGATGATGATGATGATGATGCATGGTGATACATGATGGTGCACGATGATGATATCAGGAGGAGGAGGAAGTGGAGGAGGAGGAGGAGGAGGAGGAGGAGGAGGAGGAGGGAGAGGGGGTGGAACAGGGGGGGAGGAACGTGGGTGAGGGAGCATGCGCAGCCTTGACAGGTGGTCAGTGACCGCGGTGGTGGCTTCCCAGACTGGGCGCAACTCCGACCAGTCACGCCACCTGGGCTTGCTGCGCAAATGGGCTTGCAGGGAGGTGCAGCGGCGGGGGCGGGGGATTCGGCGACCACCCGCAAACCCTGTACCCCTACAGGCCAACTCGACGGTAGGGTACCGGGCGCCTTCCATGGGACGCCACCTGGCCTGCAGGCGTCCGTCAGATTCCGACCCACCTCGGAGATCTGACCCGCAGCGGGTTGTCCACGCGCGGTGGCCCGGGGCCAGCACTGTCCAGCCGAACCCCCATCCCCTGACTCAGCCCCTCTCCTGCGACGCCCGACAGGAGCTGCACTTCTCCCGCGTGTGGCATGAGAACTGGGCCCCAGCCAGAGCCTGGAATCAGGAGTCCGGGTGCCTGGAATCTGGAACCCCAGAATGTGGAGTTTGGAGTCCAGAATCCGGAATCCGGTTTCAGAATTTATGTTCGACCCAGAATTTGCTGGAACCCGGATTCCAGAAACCCGGAAACCGAAATTTGGGAACCATAATTTCCCAAACCGATACCCAGGCGAGTTGAGACGATCAGGGGAGTGTAGGAACAATGAGGAGGACAGGGGGTATTGTTCGAGGGGGGAGGAGGAGAATGGATAAGGAGGGTGAAGGATGATGATTTTGCGGATGCGGAGGAGCAGGAGGAGAAGGAGGAGGAGGACGAGGAGGAGGAGGACGAGGGGGAGGAGGAGGAGGAGGAGGAGGAGGAGGAGGAGGAGGAGGAGGAGGAGGAGCAGAGGGACCAGAGGCTTCTTGGATGCCTCTCGACGTCTCTCAGGATCTCTCTTGAGGTTTTTGTATGCTTCTTGGAGCGCCTGGGAGCGTTCTGGCGGTTCCGAGAAGCTCTGGGGTCGTCTTGGATACCCTTTGGAAGCCTCGTGGGGCCTTTCTGGAAGGCCGCTTGGAGGCGTCTCTGGTGCTCGTGGGGCCCCCTTTGGGCCCCCCTGGGCGGGCCTCAGAAGTCTCTTGAGGCCGCCTGCGCCCCCGTAGCTCAAAAGGAGAGAGATCCTTAACTCAGGTCTCCCCCAAGAAGAGCGCCCTGCTGCACTGGGACCGCGCGAAGGCCGAAGGCCTGTTCTCGGGAGGAGGAGGAGGAGGAGGAGGAGGAGGAGGAGGAGGAGGCTCAAACATGCGGTTTTCGTCATCGTCCTCGTCCTCGTCCTCGTCCTCGTCGCGTCGTCCTCCGTCGTTGTCGGTCGCCCTTCTCATTTGCGCCGTCGCCATCGTAGTCTTCGTGGTCGCCCTCGTCGTCGTCGCCGTCGCCCTCGTCGTCCTCGTCCTCGTCCTCGTCCTCGTCCTCGTTGGCATCGTCGCCATCGCCATCGTCGTAGTCGTGTCGTTATCGTCGTCCTCGTCGTCGTCGTTGCCCTCGTCTCCGTCGGTGCCGTCGTTGCTCTCGCTGCTTTCGTCGTCGTCGTCGTCGTCGTCGTCGTCGTCGTCGTCGTCGCCTTTATGAATGTCCGGCTGGATCACACTACTTTTGTATCCCGCTCTATCGCACACGCCTGCACGTTAGTTCCCGCGCGCCCGACTCGCTTGCCAGGGTCATCGACCCGACCCGTCCGACCCTCAGGGTCCGCCCGCCCAACCCGCCCGACAGGGTTGTCGTCGCTGTCGTCGCTATCATCGTCGTCGTCGGTCCGGGCTCCAGAATCCGGAACCCGTGACCCAGAATCCGAAACCCGCCGAATTTTGGAATCGGGAATCAGGAATACGGAATCCAGACCCCAGAACTCAGAACCAGGAACCCAGAATCAGGAAGAGGACGACCTTGAAGGTCCTGTTCCAGTCTGGGGACTCGCAACTGCCAGAAACTACAGGCATATCTTCATCATCCCGCTAATGTACAAGCTTTTCTCCCGCATGCTTTACAACCGACTCGAACCATTTTGGAACGTCACCAACCACCACAACAGGCTGGCTTCCGGAAGCATTACAGTACTGATGGTCATTTGTTCACTCTGGCGATGCTACAAGAGAAGGCATGGGAATGGCAAGTCACTGTGTGGACCGCCAAGCTGGACTTTAAACAAGCTTTCGATACGGTATCTCGCAAATCTCTTCGGACAGCTCTGTCTTCGCAGGGCGTCCCGTCACCTTACGTCGCTCTTATATCTAACTTGTATAGTGGACAGACAACAATTGTGGTTACATCTGTGGAAAGCAACGTGTTCAACATAAATCGCGGGATATAGCAGGGAGACCCACTCAGCTCTCTGCTCCTCAATCAAATACTTGTCCGAAGAGATATTAAGCAAATGCTGGGCCAAATTGGAAAAACGTAAGTACGGCATGCGGTTGTGTTTATTCGACAATGCACGCTAGGCGAATTCGAGGTTCGCTGATGATGTGATATTGGTTGGGACGTCTTTGACACAAGTTCGCAGGATGCTGGTGGACGCTATGGATGCAGCCAGACGGACAGGCCTTGAATTACACCCGAGGAAGACGAATATTTAGCTCAACGTGGAAGCCCGGCGGCCGAAGAGAAGCCCAGAGCTTACCAATGCTGGGAACTGCGACGTTGAAATCTGCTGGGCGTCGCTCGGACGTGTGCACGTTTCCTTCGGCGAGGACAATCGAGGAGCACCTTGATCAGTTGCCGAAGAAACCACGCGCGAAACCGCACAAAAACACAGGGAATGGACGTCCGAGCGATGGCCAGTCTGAGGGTGCGGAAACACACACAAAGTTGTGGATCGACATTTGACGTTCTGCAGCCATATGAAGGTGGACATCGACACAGGCGTTCAAGCCGCCTGGAAGAACTTTTCCTGGTTCAAACAGGAATTGCTGTGCCTGCCATATTTATTATGCGACGTATTCAGATTTGTTAAGGGCGTCGTGACACCCACAATCTTGTACGGATGTGCATCATGGACGATGACCGCTGCTCTGAAACGGCTTGTGATTTCAACTCAACGCCGCATGTTACGGATGATCTTAGTTTCGCCATGGAAATGAACAACCAATACCAGCGACAACAGCACGAAAGGCAACCGATTCGGCGTTGAATCTCGGGTGGGTTGGGTCCGACGTACCATGCACCGTTTAGAACGAGCGTTCGCAACTTCTTGGGTTTTGAGCAGTGGGTTGACGTTCAAAACCGCAGGACATTGGAATGGGTTCGGAAGGTTTCCAATTGCAACAAATATCGATGGATTTGCAAAGCGTATCATTGGGATTGGGACCCGCATGTTTGCCACGTCGCGATGCGGCGTCCACGCGGGCCTCGATAACGATGGCTGATGCAATTTGGGGGGCTACCGCCCCGCCGCCTACCTCTTGAGGAGGCGTTCCGGGCGCGCGCACGGAACGGCATCGGCGTTCCATCGCTGAAGCATGCGGCATTTGGAATCAGGAATCTGTAATCCGGAACCCAGCATCTGCCATTCGCAATCCGCATCCGATGTTTGCGGTCGGTGGATAATCGGGAATCCGGAGTGTGGAACCTGCGGCTATCTTGAATCCAGGACCTCCGCACACACACACATACACGCACACGTACACACACACACGCACATTTATTGATTGACACACGCACATGTATGGTTGAGATGATTCGGTTCCCGCCTGGCCTCGCCCGCCTTTTTTTCCATGTTTTTTCCAGCGAGAGTGGACATATTGGTTTGGTGGTGCCGCCCGTGACGCTGATGGGGGGGTATTTAGATCTGCGCATTCACTTGCCGGTGGGTGCACCTTCCCTTTCCCTCTTGTCCCCCTCATCACTCTTCTATTTCCATGGCGGCCAACCCGGCCCTGCCCCGCGTCAGCTCGCCCAGGGCGCCCCTCCCAGGGCCCCAAGTGCCTTAGGCGACACAAAGTATGCATGGCACGAATGCGCAATGCATCACCATACGAACATTCAATGGGTTTGAGCATCCGCTGAAAAAAGTAAGTTTGCACTCCCTCCCCATGAGGAGCAGCAGTATGCAGGATCCCAGCTGCAAGTCAGCACGCGCCCTCCTTCCATCCGCGCGCCTTCTTCCCCGCTTGCCGAACTCGTCGCGTTGCCCACTCGGCCGGATTATGTTGTGAAAGGGACTTCGTCCGACCGGGTACTTCTGTGCCCGGGCCGACGGAATCTCGGGCTAGAGCCGCAGGTCACGACACCGAACCAGTTCATGTAACATATTTTGTGCGTTTTTATTGTTTGAAATTCTAGACGCGTCGCGTAGCTCCAACCCTGGTTGGTGAATCATGCGTGTGCGCGCTCCTGGACCTGGTCCCTGGCAGCCGCAGCTTGCACCTCCCCCTCACGCTGGCCCGCCCGCCGAGGTGCTGCTGAGGTCGCCGGCCCGTCGGCGTTAGGCAATTCGGCTCTTGCGCGGCCCGCTCGGACCTCACTCGTCGCTGGCGCCCTCGCCTGCGGTTGCGAGTAAAAGTTGCCCACCAGCCCATCCAGAAACGATGCCCACAGGAATTGCCTCGATCAGGAAAGTAGGCAGCACACAGAGGAAAGGGTCCCCAATGGAGGGCTCTTGGAGCGTCTTGGGGGCCTCTTGGCGGTCCCGGACGCCTCTAAGAGCGTCTTGGTTGCCTCGGAGAGCTTCTTGGGGCCTTTGGGGGGTCTCTTGGGAACCTCATGAATGCCTCTTGGGCGCCTTTTGGGGCCTCCTGTGGCCTCCAAGGCGCCTCGTGGGGCCCTCTGGAAAGGCTCTTGGGGGCCTTGGGGGCGCTCTTGGGGCCATCTTGGAGGACATCGATCACACAAGATGGGAACATTAATTAACGCTGCCCCTCGGGAGCCCCGGAAGTCGCCTCTTGGGGCGTTCTTGGAGCGCTCTTAGGGACGTTTTGGGGCTCTCTTGAGCGTCTCTGGGGGCCCTCTTGGGCCATCTTGGAGCCAGCTTGAGGCCTCGGGTGGCCGTCGGAAGCGAAAAGGCGAGAAAGCCACGAACATGGATTTTCCAAAAAAAATTAGAAGGATTTGGCCTCTTCGGAGCCTCCAAGGGCCTCTTGGGCCATCGTGGGCACCATCTTGAGGCATCTTGGGATATCTTGAGCCATTTTGGAGGTCATCTTGGGCTTTCCCAGGCGCTCTTGGAGTCATTTTAATCAGTGCCCCCCCGAGGAGGTTAAAATGTGGCCAGGGCATGGGTAACATCAATGATTTGGGTATTCTCGTCGAGGCCTCCTGGAGCGTCTTTGGTGCCTCTTGGGGGTCTCTTGGTGCCTCTTGGGGGTCTCTTGGGGGCCTCTTGGGGGCATGCTGGAGGCTTCTTGGGGACCCATTGGGGACCCTCTTGGGGCACCCTTGGGAGCCTTGGGAGCGCTCTGAAGGCCATTTCGGAGGAAATCTATCAATGAAGGGGGGACCCCTAATCAGCCCCCCCCTCCCTCCCCGGAGGCCGAATGGGGCCAACATCTGGGTAAAACCAATGATATTGTGGCTTCCTCGCCGAGGCCGTTTTGTAGCTCCAACTACCCGCAGAACCCCTCGTCCAGGTCCATGGGAGGGGGTCGGGGAAGGGGTCCGTCCCTCCCCCCCGAAGGGGAAGAGGAAGGGGTGGAAGATGAAACTCCCTAAACCACCTTACGCCCCAAAGGGCCAGTAGGACTGGCATCCAGAATCTGGGTTTTGGAATCCTGAATGAATCTGGAACTCGGAATGTCTTGTGTTAGTTTCCCTATAGTGCGCCGCATACAGCATGGCAAAAACCAGGGTTGCAGTGTCACCCGACTGATGGTCTACCAGGTAGACCCTTTTGCTCCTCGCCTCGCTTCTCCTTTCGTTTCGTCTCCTCTTCTCTGTCTGCCCTCCGTCGTCGTCGTCGTCGTCGTCGTCGTCGTCGTCGTCGTCGTCGCTGTCGTCGTTTCCTGACGTAGCATCGTAGACCGATTTGCTGGCACAGCGTTTCGCCCACTCCCGTTCAGATTTTCTGTGCCCTCTTGCCCAATCTCCCTCGTATCAGGTCTCGCCAAGAACTCGTGTTGGGGAGGTTCGGGTATGGTTCTCAAGATACGTTGCGCTCCTGAATATGGCTTGCATTGATTTTGCTCCTCTCCTCAAACTCCTCCTCCTACCTTTCCTCCCTCTTCCGCAGCCCTCATCAGCCAGCGCAGAGTTTCACCCTTTTCTGCTTGGCATTGCTTGAGCTTGATTTCTTGCTGAGTGGGGGTGAGTCGGCCAGTGGGACAATGCCATGCCAGTGGGAATGGGAATCCGTTAAACGATGCTCGCAGGAGGGGTTCGGGAAAACTTGAGACTCGAGTTTGCCAGACCTCGGGTCAGCCCCCGCCTTCTGACAGCACCGGCGTGAACATTGAGGGTTGCCTGGACCTGCGCTGGACCCCCCTTCCTGGCGCGCGGAGCGAGCCAGAGGCGGCGCCGGAGTCGCCGCCAGGGGCCCGGCGCCGATCCGAGAACTCCGCGCGGGACCTCCCAAAGTCTGAGCGCACATAGAGAGCTCTCTTCTGGGGAAGCGGGGGGAGGAGGAGGAGGAGGAGGAGGAGGAGGAGGAGGAGGAGGAGGAGGAGGAGGAGGAGGACGAGGAGGAGGACGAGGAGGAGGAGGGAGGACGGCAGGGGCTTGCGGCGCGGTGGCCCGGACGTGCCCCCTCCCCGGGAGGGGGCCCGCCAGGACGCTGTGGCGGCCCTGCTCGCCCCGGACACCAAGGCCCCGAAGGCGGCGCGCCGTGCCCCTCCTTCTCCATCTGCCGCTCTGGGGGCCCGTGTCCCGGGGCCGCAGGAGGCCGTGGGGTTTGGGCGTCTTCGGACACGCTGGAGCCCGAACATGTCCATGCGCACGGCCTCCATCAGGAGGAGAAGCAACACACAGACACAATTCATCGTCGCTTCCCCAGAAGATATGGGAAAATATGGGCAGTGGGGGGGGGGAAGACAGAAACCCCGAAGATATGGGGAAATATGGGGAATCCTTTTGTTTGTGCGTATCTATTTGTGTGTCCTGGGGCCCCTTCACTCCAGGGGCACTGGGAGAGATCGCTTCCCCACGCGGTGGGCGCCCAGCTGCCAGCGGCGAGGCCCGCCACCGCGCCGTCCGATCACTCTCGTGGGCGTCGACCGCTTGGGCGACCTGCTGGAGGAGCGCACGGGAAGCCGCGGCGCGTGGCGCGCGCCGTGTCCCGAGTCTCGGGGGAGCCGTGGAGTGCGGCTCGCTCTTGCGCCGCGTTTCCGGATGCGGGGCGCCTCTCCGCGGTTTGGCTTCGTCCTCCTTCCTGTCTCTTCTTCCCTTCTCCCTTCCTTCCTTCCTCCCTTCCTCTTCTTCCTTCCTTCCTGCGTCTTCCTTCCTTCCTCTTCTTCCCTTCTCCCCTCCTTCCTTCCTTCCTTCCTTCCTTCCTTCCTTCCTTCCTTCCTTCCTTCCTTCCTTCCTTCCTTCCTTCCTTCCTTCCTTCCTTCCTCTTCTTCCTTCCTTCCTTCGTCTTCCTTCCTGCCTCTTCTGCCCTTCTCCTTGCTTGGGGCCTCTCGGGAGCCTCTCGGGGGAATCTGGGGGGAGGCCTTTGGGGGGCGTCTTGGAGGTGCCACCTTGGGCGCACCTTGAGCCGTCTTGGGCTGACGGAAGGCCGAACCGGTGAGAACGCGAGCATTTTGGAAGCACCGATGAGAAATCTGTGTTTTCGACATTTTCTGCTTGGCCCTCCTATCATTAAGTCGGGCACGTCCCTCTACAGGAGGAATAGTCAAAAATAGTCAAAAAGTAGTCAGGGGACGAGGTGTTGAGTATTTTGTTTGACCATTTTGGGGTATTTTCTGACTATTCTTAATTTTTCGCCCAAAATCTCCCTGTAGGGGGACAGGTCCGACCTACCTATCAGGAAGAACTACCGTGTGCCCTCGACCCGGGTGCGACAGGCCGCACGGTGGGCCCCTCCGTGTCCATCTCGTCCCTCTCACAGGGCCTTCGTGTCCCCCCGTGCGGTGGAAGGCTGGCTGAACTGTCCGCCCCCCCACCCCCCCCTGCGCCTCGCGTCCGTGAAGTCACTGGGACTGCTGCGAACCAGAGGTTGAGAGACCTCCTACCCTGACACGTCGACCAGTGAATTGGCCCTCTTCGCTCCGCCAGGGGGCGTCGCGGCCGGCATTTTTTGCTGGTCCAGGTGCGTCGATTTCGGCCCCAGGCCGTTTTCACTAAGGGGAGGTTTATCAAAGGGAGGTTTGCCCACCGCTGACCCCCCCCCCTGCTCGGGCGAAGAGAACTATGCACATGCACCGATCCTGGCAAGGCCCATCCTTGACCCAGGATCGGTGCATATGCCTTCCTGGCATAGTTCTTTTTCCCCCCCCTGCGCCTCGCGTCCGTGAGGTCACCGGGGCTGCTGTGAGGCAGTTGCTCTGCTGCGTGCCCCCGTGGCCAGGCTCGGCCCCGGGCGGGTCGGGAGGCCCGCGCGGGAGCGCGGGGAGTCTCCTGCCTTTTGCCTCCCGCCGCCGCCGCACGGCTCTGCGCGAAAGCGGGGCCTGTCCCTCCACCGGAGGAGTATTCAGAAACAGTGATTGGGCGCTGCGTAATGGGGGGGTCATAAATGGGGGGGTGGCGAGGGTGGTTCGAAAAGGTACCCAAACGGTACCTAAACGAGCCCCCTGGGGCTCTGGAGGGGCCCGAAAGGGGCACGAAAGGGGACCTTTTCTGACCCCCCCATTTGTGACCCCCCCATTAAGCCACGCCCAAAGAGAACAAGTAGCCCGGGGACCATTTTTTGAGGTATTTTTTTGAGCAATGGGGAACCTAGTTTATTGTTTTGAGCATTTTTTGAATACTTTTGAACAGAAATCAGAAGCAGTGAAAAACTAGCCAGAGAACAATCTGTTGGAGCATTCTGTGGGTGGTGTTGCATGCTGCTGCTGCTGATGATGATGATGATGCTGATGATGCTGATGATGATGATGATGATGATGATGATGATGATGATGATGATCATGATGATCATGATGATGCTGATGCTGATGATGGTAATGATGATGCTGATGCTGGTGCTGCTGCTGATGATGATGATGGTGGTGGTGGTGATGATGCTGATGATGCTGCTGATGATGATGCTGATTATGATGATAAGCATGATGGTGCTGATGATGATGCTGACGATACTGCCGACGATGATGATGATGATGTTGTTGTTGCTGATGATGATGCTGATGATGATGGTGATGATGATGATGTTGATGATGATGATGTTGATGAAGATGATGATGATGCTGATGATGATGCTGATGATGCTGCTGATGATGATGATTATAATGATGATGATGCTGATGCCGATGATGATGATGATGATGATGATGATGATGATGGTGGTGGTGGTGGTGATGATGATAATGATGATGATGATGATGCTGATGATGATTATGATGAGGATGATGATGCTGATGCTGATGCTGATGCTGCTGATGATGCTGATGATGCTGATGATGATGATGATGATGATGATGATGATGATGATGGTGATGATGATGATGATGATGATGATGCTGCTGCTGCTGCTGCTGCTGCTGATGATGATGATGATGATGATGATGATGATGATGATGATGATGATGATGATGATGATGATGATGATGATGATGATGATGATGACCATGAGGCGGAGGAGGAGGAGGAGGACGAGGAGGAGGATGAGGAGGCGAAGGAGGAGAGGAGGAGGAGGAGGGGACGAGGAGGAGGAGGAGGAGGAGGAGGAGGAGGAGGAGGAGGAGGAGGAAACGGAGGCGGAGGAGGAGGAACAGGGCGAACAGAAGAACCAGAAGCCTATTGAATGTCTCCCGGGGCCTCCTCGGATGTCGCTTGGAAGCTTTTTGGAGGCCTTTTGGGGCGTCCTGGCGGGGTGTGTGGCAATATTGGCGGGCCCAGGGCCGTCTCTGAGCGTCTTGGCTGCCTCGGGGATCCTCTCGAGGCCTCCTGGGGGTCTCTTGGGATCCCCTTGGAGGCCCTCTGGCCGGCCGGCCGACTGGGCGCCTCTTGGGCCCTCTCGGGGCGCTCTTGGGGCGCTCTTGGGGGGCGCTCTTGGGGCCATCTCGGAAGACGTCGATACAACACGAGGGACGCTTCGATTCGCCTTGCCCCTCTATAGTGCCTACAATCGCCTCTTGGGGCGCTCTTGGGGGCGCTCTTGGGGCGCCTTAAGGGGGCGCTCTTGGAGCCATCTCGGAGGACGTCGATACAACACGAGGGACGCTTCGATTCGCCTTGCCCCTCTAGAGTGCCTACAATCGCCTCTTGGGCTGCTCTTGGGGGCGCTCTTGGGGCGCCTTCCGGGGGCGCTCTTGGATTCATCTTGGAACTTCGATGCAACACGAGGGACGCTTCGATTCGCCTTGCCCCTCTAGAGTGCCTACGATCGCGTCTTGGGTCGCTCTTGGGGGCGCTCTTGGGGCGCCTTCCGGGGGCGCTCTTGGATTCATCTTGGAAGACATCGATACAACACGAGGGACGCTTCGATTTGCCTTGCCCCTCTAGAGTGCCTACGATCGCCTCTTGGGGCGCTCTTGGGGGCGCTCTTGGGGCGCCTTTAGGGGGCGCTCCTGGAGCCATCTCGGAAGACGTCGATACTACACGAGAGCCGCTTTGATTCGCCTTGCCCCTCTAGAGTGCCTACGATGTCGCCTCTTGGGGCGCTCTTGGGGGCGCTCTTGTGGCGCCTTTAGGGTGCGCTCTTGGAGCCATCTCGGAAGACGTCGATAGAACAAGAGGGACGCTTTGATTCGCCTTGCCCCTCTAGAGTGCCTACGATGTCCCCGCTTGGGGCGCTCTTGGGGCGCCTTTAGGAGGCGCTCTTGGAGCCATCTCGGAAGACGTCGATACAACACGAGGGACGCTTCGATTCGCCTTGCCCCTCTAGAGTGCCTACGATCGCCTCTTGGGGCGCTCTTGGGGGCGCTCTTGGGGCGCTCTTAGGGGGCGCTCTCGGAGCTATCTCGGAAGACGTCGATACAACACGAGGGACGCTTTGATTCGCCATGCCCCTCTAGTGTGCCTACGATCGCCTCTTGGGGCTTTCTTGGGGGCGCTCTTGTGGCGCCTTAAGGGGGCGCTCTTGGAGCCATCTCGGAAGACGTCGATACAACACGAGGGACGCTTCGATTCGCCTTGCCCCTCTAGAGTGCCTACGAGCGCCTCTTAGGGCGCTCTTGGGGGCGCTCTTGGGGCGCCTTCGGGGGCGCTCTTGGAGCCAGCTCGGAAGACGTCAACACAACAAGCGGGACGCTTTGATTCGCCTTGCCCCTCTAGAGTGCCTACAATCGCCTCTTGGGGCGCTCTTGGGGGCGCTCTTGGGGCGCCTTAAGGGGGCGCTCTTGGAGCCATCTCGGAAGACGTCGATACAACACGAGGGACGCTTCGATTCGCCTTGCCCCTCTAGAGTGCCTACGACCGCCTCTTGGGGCGCTCTTGGGGGCGCTCTTGGGGCGCCTTCAGGGGGCGCTCTTGGATTCATCTTGGAAGACATCGATACAACAAGAGGGGCGCTTTGATTCGCCTTGCCCCTCTAGAGCGCCTACGATCGATTCTCGGGGGGCTTTGGGGGGCGCTCTCGGGCGCTCTGGCGCCGTCTTGGGGCTCTCGTTGGCCCCTCATGGGGCCCTCTTGGGTCATCTGGGAGCCGTCTTGAGGCCTCCATCGGAAGCGAAAAGGCGAGAACGCACACCACATAGATGTTCCGTAGGTTGTGGACGGAT